GTCACCTCGCTCCATGTGATGTCACCTCGCTCCATGTGATGTCACCTCGCTCCATGTGACGTCACCTCGCTCCATGGTGCCTGGGATTAGTCCCAGCCCTTCCCTGCTATGCTCATTCCTTTTCAGTTTCACTTTATTTCTGAAGCGCTTTAAAACAATATAACAGCTGTACACAAAAATAAAAGAATCAAGCAGTACAGGGTAAGAGGTTTAAGAAAAGGTGTTTTTAAATGGGTTTGAGAAGCAGCAAGAGATGAGCCTGCCTGACCTGCAGTGGCAGACGAAACTGCAGAGGCTCCGTCTGGTTTTATTAAATGTCTTTGTGACAGTGAAGAGCACCTGGTTAACTGAGGAGCACTGACAGCATGTGGGAGGGAAGCAGCTCAGACAAATAAGAAGGGAAAGACCATTAAGACTTAATGGGAAGCCAATGAAGGGACACTGAGCCTGGGGTAATGTGCTCTCGTTTGCTTGTACCGGTTTAAAATCGTGCAGCAGCATTTTGTACCCACTGCAGACGTGACAGGGAGGCCTGGCCGAGTCCAGTCTAAAGAGAATCACAATGATCCAGGAGAGACGTGATGAATGCATGGATCGGAGTCTCCAGGTGGCATCTAAACAGGACCGGCTTAATTTTTGCCAGCTGCCCCCACTGCTCCAGTGTGGAGATGAGGCTGTGTCAGAAGCAGCTGTTAGATCTTAAAGCACAGCTAAAAACACTGTTCCCAGAATCCATCGCTAAAAAGATGTCATTAAAAACTCTTAAAAGAGCAGATTTGGTGCTGTGGTGTGTTTTAAACCCAGACTGGAACATTTCCAGGTGTAAACAGTACCTTCTTTGGCAACTTGGAGGGCGACAAAGCAGAAGGGTCAAGGTTTCATCAACAAAAGAAACCCGGCCTTCAGCAAACAAAAGGGGAAAGAGACAAGAATGGCTGTGGGTGTCGTTGGTGTTAAAAGTGTGAGACCTCGGAGTCAGCGAGTGTTTGTGTTTGCAGGAGAGCTGCTGCTAAAGCTGGAGAAACATCAGGAGGCTTCAGAGGTCTACAGAAGACTCCAGGAAAGGAACCCAGAAAACTGGGCCTACTACCAAGGCCTGGAAAAGGCCTTAAAGCCAGGTGAGGACTTTCTCATCCATCACACTTCTTCTGTTGTTACTTATTATAATGAAGGCGTTGTCGTCTCCCTGCCTGGCTGCTGCACAGGCAGCGTGGACACAAGTTTGTGATTGCAATCACGTGGAGAACAAAGCAACGTTGAGTCTCAAATTTATGCCTGTTAGAAAAATTCCCTTATGAAGTGAGACGCAGAGAGTAGCGAGCTGCATTTATTCTGTGTGCAAGGAAACAACAGCACATATAATGAATGTCTATGCACGTGCTGGTCTTTGAGTCCTCCGGCAGAGTAGAAAAGCACTAAGAATCAGTTTACCATTTACTCCTGCTGAGCTTTAGAAAGGATCCTGGGAACAGATATGTGCCTCAGGGACACACAGAGCTCTGCACAGCTTTAATTTTAGAGAGTGTTGCATAACTTTTTCTAGAAATGCATCTACTAAAAGTTCTGATCTCCAGTCTGAGGTCCGATCTCAGTGACTTTGACCCCAAGTTCAAAGGTCAAGTTTTGCAAAAATCCTGTGAACGTGATCTAGAATTTTGAAATTGATGCTCCAGGTGTATCTACTAGAAAGATGACGGGTACCACTGGCCAGCACCAGTATTTCCTGTGTTTGTGGTTATTAGTACTACAAATACTCTGTTGTACTTGCCCTGCAGCTATGATGCTGTGCTTCCTGGTAGAGCTGTGCCATATCACACAGTCCTAATGAGAAGATAATAATAGTTGATTGTAAAAGTCTCACACACATGCACACAGATCAGGGGGAGGGGTCTGTGTCTGACAGTCAGACTCGGACAGCGAACAGAAATAAGGAGGAATAATAAAGTGGCAGCTGGTGAAAGTCTCCTGCTCAAGAACAGACATGCCAGCAGAACGTTTCCTGTTTCCTTTGGTCTGCTGAAATCTGCAGTGGCTGTAAACAAAAAGCTCCTTGAAACCACAGATATTTCATCAGTGCAGCTCTCATTTCATCCAGTGCGTTTCCCAGTCCCTGATATGGTGGTTTTAGAGATCTTAGCAACTTCAGAATAGAGTGCAGTGTTTTCCCAGAGATGTTTGAAGCTGCGGTGCCAGTAAACGCAGCTAGCAGCACCGCAGGCTGGAGATGTCTGCTCGGTCATGGACTCTGTTGGTGCAAAACCTTTGTTGCTGTCTGATATATGCACCTAATTACAACAGGCAGCTCCTCCAGAGTCCAAAGAAGTGCTCACCCTGCACCCGTTTGAAGCACCTCTCACACACAGTGTAGAATCTGGATGCCTCGGTTTCATTAAGACTTTGGTCCATTTTTCTGAAAAGGTCGGGGATGAACTTTGGTGCCACCCTTCGCGGCATGGTTCCACTGCTCTCACCATGGAGTCAGGAACATGACATTTCATTTCCCTCAGTGGTGTCTGTGGATTCACACACACAGCTGTTCCAGGCCTTAGTAAGTGGGCCTTGTTGTTGAGTTCGTTTGGTGTGCTATCCGTTTTTTTTTTCCGCCATGACCTTCATATCGTTTCTTGTTAGAGCTCACATGTAGGGCTGTTCGATATGACCATGTATATCTGATGACGATATAAAAACGTCTGTCGTTTGTTTCGTGGTGTCGCAAAACAAACTGTTTGCAGCAATATTTCTCATGGTTCTGATGTCACTGTAGTGGCTGTATTCATTTATTAAACGTCTCTTTCTCTGATATTTAATATAACCACACTACAGAAGCGCCTGTTTTTATGCATCGTCGTTAGCAACAACGACGGTAACAGCATCGCGTGTCCGCTTGTTTATGTTCCACATGAACCTTTCACAATAAAGCTCAAGATCCTGTTGAGACTTTTCAAAATAAACTGAATCATGTGAAAGAGCAGATTATTTATGGATGAGAAGTAAAAAAGAGCCGCCAGGTGCTAAAAAATAAAGCTCAGACTCCAACGTTAGAACAGGCTTTTCCCCGCAGCACGCCGTGTAATAAATACTCACAAAGAAAACGGCGCCGTTACAACTTATGTCTAAAAATGTGTCGTTTCATGCATCGGTTAAAACACTCGACTCCAGCTACACGACGCACAGCTGGAAACACTTCACACAAGTGGAGATTCACAGAGTTTACAGAGAATGTTACATGTTTGTGATTTATATCGATATCGGACGATAGATGTTTTATATCGGGAGATGAGATTCTGGTCATATCGCACAGCCCTACCAACATGTTTTTGTCCACTTTTGTAGAACTGCTCATATGTTGGGCATTTTGTGTGTGGAAAGTAGAGTTTCAGGAGTCTGTTTAAACATTTTCTGGTTGTTTTTCTTTTTTAAGGTAAATTTTTTTTGCCTTTTCGCCTTTATTGGATAGAGACGGTGTAGATAGACGGAAAGCAGGGAGTAAGAGAGGGTCGGACGTGCAGAGGGTCGGACTCAAACCCGAGCGTACTGCTCTCCGGCCATACGACATGTGGTCGCCTGCTCATCCACTGAGCTACGCCGGCACCCCTGGTTGTTTCTTTTTTGAGAACTGAGGACATCTGATAACTGCATGTTCATTTCTGTCACAAACTGGAAAAGTAGCTTTGGTCAGTTGCAAAGTTTGTATCTGCTGTGCACGGGGTAAGAGGGTCCTACTGTGGTCTGGGAGAGTCCTGCAACTCTGTCTGCAAATACAGTATATAATGACATGATTATATGCATTTCTACTGCTCATACACTAGTGACAGTATTTACTGATCAATATCCATAAATGAAAATTGTAAATAAATGACACTAGATGAGCACAAATCTGATTCAGTTCAATTCAATTTTATTTACACAGCACCAAATCACAACAAGTCGCCTCAAGGTGCTTTTATACTGTACAGTAGACCCTACAATAACACATACAGGGAAAAACCCAACAATCATATGACCCCCTATGAGCAGCACTTTGGTGACAGTGGGAAGGAAAAACTCCCTTTTAACAGGAAGAAACCTCCAGCAGAACCAGGCTCAGGGAGGGGCGGGGCCATCTGCTGTGATTGGTTGGGGTGAGAGAAGGAAGACAGGATAAAGACATGCTGTGGAAGAGAGACAGAGGTTAATAACAGATATGATTCAGTGCAGAGAGGTCTGTTAATACATAGAAGAAGAAACACCCAGTGCATCATGGGAATCCCCGGCAGCCTACGTCTATTGGAGCATAACTAAGGCTACGTTCACACTGCAGGTGAAAGTGCATCAAATCCTATTTTTTTAACCCTCTGCGAGCCATCTATCCGATCATGGTGTGACGGTGTGAACGGCACAAATCCGATATTTTCAAATCCAACCTGGGTCACTTTCATATGTGGTCCTGAATGCGATACATATCTGATGTTTTAGAAAGCGACTGCTGCTCACCGACACAAGACAGACGCCGATTATCAGCAACGCAGAAGCGCCCGAGAACACATGGCGAACGCTTCCTGGCCATCCCGTGTAGATGTCAGTGAAACTGTTGGGAAGACAACGTTGGAGAAACGTGAACATTTTATTTGTACTGTATAAGCTGCAGATTTCTGTCAGAATCTGCAGCTATCCTTTGAAGCAGCGCTCCTCTAAAACAGCAACAAGGATCATTATTATGCAAATAACAAAATAACTTTATAACTTAAAGCAAAATTGGGAAACGTAAAGTCCGAAGTCTTTACATTAAGGCCATCAGTCAAACATCCTGTTGCTCTGGGTCTAAACAGAGCGCATCGTGTGTGACGTCTTCTTTTGCGCATGCGGCCACTTTGAGCGTTCACACTAGAGCGCGTTGCTGTCGCATTTTATTTGTAGTGTGAACGAGCAGACAAAAAAATCTGATTTGATCAAAGAATCTGAATTGAGCATCAAGACCTGCAGAGTGAACGTAGCCTCAGGGAGGATTCAGGGTCACCTGATCCAGCCTAACTATACGCTTTAGCAACTGAAGACTTGAATTCCACCTTATTTTTTGCTGTGTGTCCTTCTCACTCCTCCACTAGTTGCACACTTTGTCCCAGTTAAAAGCCCGTCTGCTTCTTTCACAGTGGGTGTGAAGGTCCCCCTCCTGGGGTCAGGGTGGGGCTCCTGTGGGTTTGAGCGCTAACATTTTGTTCACATTAAAACTTTGACATTTTGCACAATGACAGGTGATACTGTGAAAATGACAATTTTTATTAACATTTCTACTACTCGTGGTCATTTAAGGGTTATTAACTGTTATAGATGAACATTCTTAATAAATGACATTAGAATAAGCACAAAACTGATGAAGAACTTCAATTTCACTTTCAATTTTCCGTCTGTCTGTCTCGAGTCTTCAGTGGTTGTGCACGCTGATCCACTTCATTTCTGGAGGCTGTTTTGATACGATTCAATAAACTGAAGCCTCTGTCACAATCTGCACTGGACGCCTGAATGTAGCACAAATATCCACAAGCTGTGAGCCCATGTCTGCTGCTCTATGCTCCAGACTGATGTCTGAGCTCGTCCCAGTCTGTGTGTATCTGCTGATGCTCGAACAGCAGCATGGAGCCATGGCGCCTGCTCGTTGTGCTGTAATAATGTGGGGAATGTGGTCATAGCACACTCTTAGCTCTTAACAGCCACGTTCATCCCTTTGTAGTTACAGTTTGTTGTCCTCTGTGGCTGCGAGATAATGCACCATTTGACCACCAAACAAACTGAACTCAGCAGATATCCTGAGTGAGCAGAAGTTTGGATTGTCTGTGTGAATTTGTGATATTAACTGACCCCTGCAGCTTTAGTTGACCATTTCCTCCTTTCTCTTCAGGCAGTTTAGAGGCGCGGCAGAAGATTTATGAAGCGTCCTGCATAAAGTTTCCTAAAGGCCTCGTTCCCCGAAGGCTGCCTCTCAACTTCCTCACTGGTAAACCTGGATTTTTGGCAAATACACCTTTTCTGTCTGTTATGTCGTTTATTTTATTAAATACCAAATCACGATGTTGTTATTCTCACACTTGTGTTTACTGCTTCTGTGAGGTGGTGTTTTTCTTTTTTAAATAAAGAGAAAAAATTAGCTTATGGCTGTATCTGTGTCAGTGCGTAACACGATGGACCCAGCATGTTTTTATCAAGTATGCGCTGCCCCTGAAGTTTAGGGTTTGTAAAAAGTTGCCATCAACAGTTAGAATTCATCACAGCAAACAGGAAGGAATCAGCTGCGGCTCAGAATAGGCGACACTCATGACCTGGGATTTGTTGTTTCTGTATTTGGTGCGCTCAGAATTAGCAGAAACAAACTGATTAGTCAGCTTATGAGTGTAACTCACATTTTAGTGACAGCGTAAACCTCGCTGTGTGTTTGCTGTGTGTTTGTGCTGGCCAGGGGAGAGGTTTCGTCAGTCTCTGGACAGCTACCTGAGGATCAACTTCAGCAAAGGCTGTCCTCCCGTCTTCACCACCCTCAAGTCCCTTTACAGCGACAAAGAGAAAGTACGTTTGTGGTGCTTAAAACTTAAGTCTGTTTTGAAAATGTTCTTTAAAATAAAGGGATAATAAAGTTGTTTTCTCTACGTGCAGGTCACAGTTATTGAAGAATCAGTAGTTGGCTATGAAACCTGTTTAAAAAGCTGTCGAATGTTTAGTGAAAATGGTGAGTGCTAATTGGTTATAATGGTTTCCATCATCTCCAGTCTCCATTTATTTATTGAAAGTTTGTGACTTGAACCAAAGCTCAGTGACGGCTGTACTAAATGTGTGCACAGATGATGGGAAGGAGGAACCCCCCACCACCCTGTTGTGGGTACAGTACTTCCTGGCACAGCACTTTGACTTCGTCGGCCAGCCACGCCTGGCGCTGGAGTTCATTAATGCAGCCATCGACAGCACACCTACGCTCATTGAGCTCTTCCTCATCAAAGCCAAGATCTACAAGGTGTGGTGGGAAGCTCTGCACACACAGGCGTTTTTGTTCACTGTGTGATCTTTCCATGTCTGCTAACCCAGCTCCTCTGCCCTCTAGCATGCAGGCAACATAAAAGAAGCAGCTCGGTGGATGGACGAGGCTCAGGCCCTGGACACTGCAGACCGCTTCATTAATTCCAAGTGTGCCAAGTACATGCTGAAGGCTGGCCTCATCAAGGAAGCAGAGGAGATGTGCTCCAAGTTCACACGAGTAAGCAGATGGCATGTTTGAAATGTTGCCAAAGTAATAAAACTCCAGCATTGTGTCAGTGATCAAGAGGGAGGAGTCATTGGGACGGGGAGTGTGGACCTGAGCTGGTGTTGTTTGGCCTTCCAGTTTGTACATAGCACTCAACAGCAAAGCCTATAATTGAAGTTAAGAGATTATATATCTGTGTGTGTGTGTGTGTGTGTGTGTGTGTGTGTGTGTGTGTGTGTGTG